ATGGGTTGAGATAAGAACCATTTACTGAGAAACAGCAATGGAGTAAGAAATGAATGGCAGTAGCTGTATTAATACCAGAGTGTGCAAGAGAGGTGAATGACTCCCATGTGATCCCTCACTCCATGCAGCACAGACCGAACTGGCACAGGAACAAGGGGTAGCCCCCTCCATCCCCTAGGCACGATATGAGGTGGTATAGAAAACCTCCAGGGTCCTAGTGTGCCCCTCCTGGCTGCTGTAAAAGTTAATCCTGTCCTGGTCTGTCCAGGACAGGGTTAACTTTTACAGCAGCTAGGAGGGGCACACTAAGACCCTGGGCAGACCAGGACAGATATAAAAAATAATATATTCTTTATAAATTAGTCTTGTTACTAAGAAATAATTTCGTCTCTGTAAGAGCTGCAGTAGTGCTGACAAAACAGAGGCTAAATTGTGGTGACTGCAACTAACAGTTCAGAGTTTCAAAACTGTGGTCCAAAGACATGAGTTTGTCCAGTCTGAGCTTTCTTGAATTATCCACGCCCAAGGTCCAACGTCTGGAGGGAGCTGTAACATACATTCACTAATAAGTTACAGTTTTAAACTAATGAAAAACTGTTTGGTCCTTTTCATCTCTGAAGAACTGTAGTGTGTTAGAAGAGAACTGCTGTAACTTGTAATATGTAACTCACTGCCTACATCTGTAATAGTAAATTAACATTTCCAGGAACTGAAATATGGTCTTCTGTACACTTAAACTGTTAAACTGTTGGTCTATGACAGGCAACACTTTTCCAAAGGATTCCTGGTAATGGTTGGGGAATTGGAACATTCCCACCACTCAGTTTGCATGCAACTATCCTGCTAAAACAAATTTACTAGCAAAGGTGTGAGCCATTCTGTGCCAGTTGGCCTCAGTGCCCTGGAATATTCTAGGGTCGTTTAATGTATTGGATCAGGCAGAGTACTTATATCTGTCTGCAGATCCTATTTTAAAGCTTTTGCATTCTTATTTTACTCTTTTATATCAATCTAAGGGAGTTGAGTTAAATCTTGTGCCAAAACATGCATTCATTTTGTCTAAATCTCTGCAAAGAACACTGAATCTTGAATCTTTCTGAAGTACAACCTTTTGTCTCCCTGTTTCCAGGCACTACAAGTATGTCTTTGGTTACATCAGGAGTCCTAAATGAGAGGGCCCTAAGTTGTGAATGCTGGATCAGGGAAAGATATTGCTAATTTGTTTTGGCCTAGGATGAAAAAAAGTGGAGGTTAACCTGTGATTCAGAATGATGAGTGCAGTTCTGACTAAAATGTGGTTCCATGCAGGTGTTCCCGTGGAGTCTCTGCGGGAATCTCTTGGTGAAGAGCTATTCAAAATATGTTATGAAGAGGATGAACACATATTAGGAGTTATTGGAGGGACCCTTAAGGACTTCTTGAACAGTTTCACTACTCTGCTGAAGCAGAGCAGCCACAGCCAAGAAGCAGGAAAAAAGGACAGACTTGAAGATGCTTCCATATTATGCCTTGAGAAAGACCAGGACTTTTTAAATGTATATTATTTCTTTCCTAAGAAAATCACAAGTCTTATTCTATCTGGTATCATTAAAGCAGCAGCTCATATTTTGTATGAAACTGAGGTGGAAGTGATGCTCATGCCTCCTTGTTTCCATAATGACTGCACTGAGTTTGCTAATCAGCCTTACTTGCTGTACTCCATACAAGTCAAAAGTGCAAAGCCTTCCTTATCTCCGTGTAAACCACAGTCTTCACTTGTGATTCCTGCCTCCATGTTCTGTAAGACTTTCCCATTTCATTTTATGTTTGACAAGGATATGTCAGTTCTTCAAATCGGAAACGGGATACGAAGACTTTTGACCAGGAGAGAATTTCAAGCTAAGCCAAATTTTGAAGAGTATTTTGAAATTCTTACCCCAAAAGTAAGCTGCACTTTTAGTGGAATAATGACAATGCTAAATATGCAGTTTACTGTACGAGTTAGAAGATGGGATAATACTGATATGAAACCTTCCATGGTAAGAGACTTTTTATAACCATTACTTCAGTGAGGAATTTGTTTTCTTCAGAAGGAGTTAAAATAGCCACAAAACACATTTTGTATTTTCTACATCTTAACATTTAATACAACTGAATAATAATGATTTAATTAGGATATTCAAATGTAATTCATATTCCAAAGCCAATGTTCAGTCAAAACTCTGCTTTAGGACTTTTGCACCAGTAAAATATGATTGCTGACTTGATTTTATTTAAATAATTGGAAATATCGAGATAAAGCCAGTGGTATGCTATGCCGCTGAGAATTAGGGCATCTCCAACACAAAGACAGTGGCAGGGAAAGCTTAAAGTGCCTTTGAATCATCTGGAAACAACAGCTGTAGGATTTGGGGAAAAGAAGTAGACATTTCCTGTGCTCATTCAGCCTTATGTTTTGATATCTGTGGCATTCTGATGTTTTCATCAGATGCTGTCGCCAAAGGTCCCACTTAGATTCAGCTGATGGGATTGCTAACTATCTTTGCTGAAGCTGGGTCTGTGACAAATGACCTGAGACTAAAAATCGTTGGGTATACAAAGACTTTTTATTTGTTCCTGGTCCCAGCTGAATTCCAGCTTATATACACCTGAGGCACTATAGGATGAATTACCAGTTCAGACTTGACACTGAAGAATGGTAAAAATATTTCACCCAGTCATTAGTGAAGTGGGAAAAAATGCAGTTACTTCATCTTAGGTCCATTTCTGCACTATAATCCTTACAAGGGGTGGTAGACTTGGGTTTGCTTTTGCATGTATTTGCATATGCAAATGCCTATCAGCAAGGAACAGGTTTTATTAAAACAGTGGTCTTTCAAAGCATTGTTAAGCTAAGCTCTGCAGCACTTTGCATGTTGCACAGCTAAATGGGATATTTCTGTCATTTTTGCCGTTAAATTGCAGTGAGTACTAAACATCCTGTGCTAAAATTGAAGCAGATTTTCTCAGTTTCTCTTACAAATAAAGTACTGCATAAACTAGAGCTATTAGTACAAATTCACAGCCCACTATAGCTAGTAACATTTTAGCAATAGATGAAAATGCACAAAATTGTTCTTTTTGTTTTTCTTTTCTTCCTAAACTAAAACTGATACTGATACTCAGACATAATTAGGTGTTTGTCCTTAAGTTGTGGCCTAACTTTTGTACCAGATGGCTCAAGAAAAATAGACTTATTTGATGGCTCTGGGATTCAGCACCTCATGTTTTCTCTCAAGGAATTAAATGAAAATGTATGGACTCTGAACCAGTCTTGATTTTCTTATATTTCAGCAAAATTTATTTCCTCTAAAACTTCTTGCTTCTAAACTATTGCAGTGCATGTTTTGCATGACTTCTTGTTTTTTTAACTGTTTCAGGTAATGGATCTTAAAGGCCAAATGATCTATATTCTTGAATCCAGTGCCATCCTATTCTTGGGATCTCCTTGTGTGGATAGACTAGAAGATTTTACAGGACGTGGCTTGTACCTCTCAGATATTCCCATTCACAATGCATTGAGAGATGTTGTTCTGATAGGAGAGCAGGCCAGAGCCCAGGACGGACTGAAGAAAAGGTTAGGAAAGCTAAAAGCAACCCTTGAACAGGCCCATCAAGCCCTTGAAGAAGAGAAGAAGAAGACTGTAGATCTTCTGTTTTCAATTTTTCCTGGAGAAGTGGCTCAGCAGCTGTGGCAGGGACAAGTTGTACAAGCCAAGAAATTTAGCAATGTCACAATGCTTTTTTCTGACATTGTTGGATTCACTGCCATCTGTTCCCAGTGCTCACCTATGCAGGTTATCACTATGCTTAATGAGCTTTATACTCGCTTTGATTACCAGTGTGGAGAGCTAGATGTCTACAAGGTACACAATTTATTGCTTTCCTTTGGGGTTCTGGGGCAGGAAAGGAAATTAACACTAAGTGGGATACAGCATAATAGAAGTTCAAAAATTAGTTTGCCCTAAGCCTTTTAAAGTTGAAAGACATATTAAGATAAATCCAAAAACAAAACAGAAAAATCAGCAGAAATGGCTGTTCATGCAGCCAGCAGAGAAACCCATCAAAACTTAAGAGTTAATTTAAAAAAACCTAATTCCAATGACAGTGCTGTGAATCTGGAGTAAATAGGTATTTAATGGAGCTGTGTGTTCCTGACAGTAGATGAACAAGGAGAAGTATTTTAGAATCATGCCCAGCAAAAAATACAAGTTGTTCAATTCTTCCTTTTGCATCATACTGCAGGATTTGTCCAGGATTTGAATAATTCTGCAGGAAAAATAAGATTCAGTCAAGATGTAGCTACAATTGTTACTGAAATTAGACTTATTCTATGTATCAAACAGCCTAACAGTAAGAAACAAATATGCCTGTTTTAGGTTGAGACTATTGGAGATGCCTACTGTGTCGCTGGAGGCTTACACAAAGAAAGTGAAACACATGCTGTTCAAATAGCATTGATGGCCCTGAAGATGATGGAACTGTCAGATGAAGTGGTGTCTCCCCATGGAGAACCTATCAAGGTCATATATTTGATTATATTTTATACGGTTAAAGTGTGCATTTTTGTTAGTTAGTTGCTTTTTGGGGGGTTGTCTCAAGGAAATTTCACATCATTGCATTAACTCAGAGAAGTTGGGGAGTCAAGTGACTGCAGCTGGAGAAGCTGACTTTTTTAGTTCTATGGATGAGAGTTTTCTGGAGAGATAAAGGTGAAATAGAGATCTGAAAATCAACCCAAAAGACTCGAATGCAGTGAAGTTAATAGGTGCAATATGAGATGCTGCAGTTTTTGTCTCAGGAGCAATAAATTTGTCAGTGGCATTTTCTAAAGAAATGTCTAATCCTCTCTCAGAATTAGACATCTAAGTCTTTTGAGATATCAGCTGTAAATATGAATGACCAAAGACATGTTCTGATTGTAGCAATCCACACATCTTTAAAGATTCCATTGCTGGTTTTGTTTTACAGTCAGATACTGAACCACTACCACAAGATAATGGTGTTAATGCTGTCAAAGCAACTGTTAGATTCAATGGTAGTTATATTTATGGCTTCCTTTCAATGAGGACTTGCACATGTACTGAAATTTTCATGTAGGTTTGCCTTTCATTGAGGAAAAGAAAAAAGAGAAAGGCCTCCATGCATGAAGAATTATGTGGACCTTCTACTAAGTTCACATGGCTTGGAATGGGGTCCTAGTATTTTTAAGGTGTCTCAGTTCATAATGTCTTTCATTTGCTCATTTGTAACAATTGTCTGTTCATTTGTTCCTTTAGAAAACTTTCGGCTTTCTGGATTTTAGATTAAGGAATATTTGTATTCCAAGATGAAGACAAATGTTATTAAGAGGATTACATGCTCCATATTTATGACAGAGAACAGCAGTATTATATTATAAATAAGTGCTGTTCTTTTTGTATTTTGCAATATCAAATTAAATGATGCTTAAAAAATCCAGAAACATCATGACAATAATTGTGTTTATAATTTCCACTAATGCTACCCCTATAATTTTGAATGATGAATGCTATTACATTTTGAAAGTGATTTTAAAACAAGGAGAAAAAAAATGTATTGTGTAAGTGATTAATAGAAGCTTAGAAGAAAACTGAATCTTTCTGGTTTTAATGAAAGTATGCATCTATTTTGATGAAATGCTTCATGAAATCATTGAATGTTGTCAATGCAAAGCAACAAATTTCTAACACAGTCTACTGTCATTTTCCTATCAATTGTCAAAGAAAAGGTTGTGACTGCAAAGTGCTTACTTTGAATCAGCCTTGCATTTCAATGTACATATTTCATCCATATTTGCAGTGTGGGTTGATTTTGCTTTTGCTGCAGGTTCTTCTGCTTTTACACTCAAAATTAGAAATTGTGACTTCTTCATAATGATATGATACCCTCTTGATATGTAAAGAGTAGCACACATAGTAAATGTGCAAGTTTCCTGACATCTTGCCATTATTGTGTCAGAGTACTCTTCTGAAGAAAACATGCCTACATATTCATAGTGCACATGAGAAAGAGAACACTCCTCAAAAAAACCCCACCAAAAGCCCTCTTAGAAAGCAGGACCAGCGAAGTACAAGTCAAAAATCTGAGTTAAAAAGAAGAGGTATCAATATATTTCAATTGCAGTTGGTTCCCCAGGGCTGTTTTGGGGCCAGTTCTGTTTAATATATTTATGAATGACTTGCATGAGGGGATCAAGTGCAATCTCAGTCAGTTTGCAGGTGACACCAAGTTGGGCAGGAGTCTCAACAGCCAGCTGAACACGAGCAGCAGTGTGCCCAGGTGGCCAAGAAGGCCAGTGACATCCTGGCTCTTATCAGCAACAGTGTGGTCAGCAGGACCAGGGCAGTGATCATCCCCCTGTACTCAGCTTTGGTGAGGCCATGCCTGGAATCCTGTGTTCGTTGTGGGCCCCTCACTACAAGAAGGATATTGAGGTGCTGGAGTGTGTCCAGAGAAAGGCAGTGGAGCTGGTGAAGGGCCTGGAGCACAAATCTTACGAGGAGCAGCTGAGGGAGCTGGAGTTGTTCAGCCTGGAGAAGAGTAGTCTCTGGAGGGACCTTATCGCTCTCCACATCAACCTGAAAGGAGGCTGGAGTGAGGTGGGGCTCATTCTCTTCTCCCAGGTAACAAGCAACAGGACAATAGGAAATGGCCTCAAGTTTTGCCAGAGAAGGTTTAGATTGCATACTAGGAAAAATTTCTTAACCGCAAGGGTTGACTGCTCAGGGAAGTGATGGAGTCACCATCCTTAGAGTCACCATCCACACACACTTGTAAGATGTGTAGATGAGGTGCTTAAAGATAGGGTTCAGTGTTTAACCTGACAGTGCTGGATTAGTGTTTGGACTTGATGACATTAGAGGCCTTTTTCAACCTAAATGATTCTAAACTTGAATTATCAAAATTCTGTACTCCGGGATTGTGAACTACTCTATGTGTGACCTTGTCAACAGAGTTCAGTTGGAACTACAGTATCTTCACTATTCCCTAAGACTTGTCTTCTGACCTGACCAGCAAAGCAGGTACTATTCATTAACTGTCACCAGTCTAACAAATTGAGTCACGTAACAGAAAGTATCCAAGTGCCATAGTAACTCCTGCTGATGCTTCTAGATAAATTTACTGCCACAGACACCAGCAGTTCACAGTCATATTTTGATATAGAAGGATTACTTACTAAAATGCAATGCAAGATAAACGTCAGCTAGTTCACTTCACTCTCCATGAGCAGTGATGACCAGAATACAGGTATTTTAAGGAGACTGTGCTAACTCAGTGTATATTTGTAGCTCATTATTTCTTTTTTTTTTAAATAGAGGAATGATACATAAAACAGACTTTAACCATTCCATTTTACCTAATAATGCTCTTTTCTGTCTTTTATTTAAAGATGCGTATTGGCCTTCATTCTGGATCTGTCTTCGCTGGAGTTGTTGGGGTTAAAATGCCTCGTTATTGCCTTTTTGGAAATAATGTAACCCTTGCCAATAAGTTTGAATCTTGCAGTATACCTAGAAAAATAAATGTCAGCCCAACAACTTACAGGTACAGTGCTCAATATATGTAAAATGTCCACCTGAAGTAGTTACTGTAGTAGTCCATTATCCTCCTGTTCTTTTTTTTCTTTTCTGAAGTACTATTTATTTTCCTTTTTATCTTTTTATCTGATTGCTCCTGAATGCACCAGGGTTATTATTAGCAAGAATTTTAGGAATTAAAAAAGGTGAAACAGAACTGATGATACTTATTTTTCATATGTTACATTCAAAATAAATGGACTGTCTGGACCAATTTTGCTTCTTACCCTGCAGCTGTATATGTCTTGCCTTTTTTTCCTTATTCTCTCATATAGTTTGCTCTTCTTTGAGCTTTCACTGTGAACTGGATACCAAACTGTCTGCAGGTGCCGTTGAAAATAATAAACTCACCGAAGAATTGTTAAACATCACTCTACAGTCTTCATTCTCTTTTGCTTAGGAAGATGAATAGGTTGCAATGGATCAACCATGCCAGTGTTTGGTTTCTACAGGTCTTGATCACCAATTCAGTTTAAACTTTTCAGTATGGAACTAGGCTGTACTATTTATCCACTCAGATCAGATATTTTTAGTAACGTGTACTCTGTGGTTATTCAGACAGCTATTAGGCTCTCCTATGGGAAATACAGCATCCTTCTTTTTTCTTCCAAACCTAACACTCTCTGTATTATTTGTGTAATTATTCTTAAAAAGCACCTTGCAACATGTGCATTGGCAGGTAATACTACTTTATAGATGGCAGGCAAGGCAATAGGAAACTTCTGAATGTGATGGTAACAACAGTCTGCATCTGAACTCCAGGTGCAGATCTGAATTGAGGCTGATTGAGACTGTTGTTTCTTGAAGAGTGGCCAGAAGTTTAATAAGAATGTTCTGTAGAGTGGATCTGCTAGTAGGAAGTGATATGGCTGGCTGGGTAAAATAATCAGAAATGTTTTAAATTATTTTTTACCTTGTAAGGAAGCTCTGTTACCCTCACTGTAGCCTGGACTGTAGTCTGTTGTTCCTACTCAGCTTGTACCCACTGTCACGTATCTGATAATGCCTTACGGCAAGGTTCTTTGTCCAGCGTCAGACTGGGAATTTGGCACAGGATCCTGACATCCCCTGCAGCATGTGCTGTGTGACATACAGGGTGCCAGGCCTTAGATTATCTTGTACAGGTGATTTACAAAAAGTAGCAGAGGTATTAGAGCACACAGAAAGTAACTTTTATGATCAAGCACTCTAAAGAAACATTATCATTGCCAGTGCTTATGTATATCAGAAGAACAATGCTGGCCAACAGTGATTGTTTCTCCATAGCCATATGGAAAATCATTTGGAATGAGACTGACTACAGTGTTTTCTTATAACCATTAGACACTTTATCCACACAAGACCTGCCTATAACTGGTGATATAAGTAGGTGTCTGCATGGCTGTGTATTGATCTCAAGAGAATATTTGAAATTAGGATACTGTTAAAAAACCCCAATTGTCTGAATGCCTAGTTACCTTTGTTAACAGGTAAACTATTGTTATTTTTTACCCTGAGTGAACGATGTGTTAACCTCCTTTTTGTTTGGTGTTTTTTTCTTCCTCTAATGCTAGACACATATTGATAACATTGTGGTGCTTTGAACAACAAATGTATATTGCAATAATTGCTGGAAAGCTTAGATACCAGTTATCAATATTTATCCCTAAAAATTAGCAATCTGTGTTTCAGTCTGTGAAAAAGCAAAATTACTAGAATTGGTAAGTGGATCTGAAAAATTTATAGTATTTTTCTTTATAGTATTTCATTACTTGAGGAGTTAATTATGGTGTGTTTGATGTGCAGATGTTAGCTACCTTTCAGCGCTAAATAATTTTTGAAAATATTTACAACAAACATAGCACCTACGTACAAAACATTGGCAAGACCAAAAAAAGAGGCAGTACTATTTGCACTTGGGCACAAGTTAATAGGTTATCAGGCTTACCAAATAAACAGTGTTTTTAAAAAATATTTTCAGTAAATAATGTATAAAAATTAAATTGGATTCTGCCCTGCCATACATGAAGATTTATTGAATGTTTGCACTTGTAACAATTAGTGACTGATTCATTTTTAATCAAATGATTAATGTTTGTTCTAGGTTGTTAAAGGAATATCCAGGTTTTGTGTTCACACCTCGCTCAAGAGAAGAGCTTCCACCAAATTTTCCCAGTGATATCCCTGGAATTTGCTATTTTCTGGATGCTTATATTCAAGGAACAAACTCACAGACTTGGTTTCAAAAGAGAGATTTGGGAGATGGCAATGCCAATTTTCTGGGTGAGGAAACAGGAATAGACTAAATAGTACATTCACAAATGTATAGAATAAATTTATAAATATTTGGAATTTTTTTGTATAAATTGAAAATTTTTAAAACTGTATGAAACATGAAAGCACTTTAGATTGTTAACACCTGAAATCCAGTATTAAAATTTCAGGAAGTATGTCACTGACTACTTTTTATTTTTCCTTTGCATAAGGAACATAGTCACTAAAGTAATGTTGCAACTTCACTGTTGAAAATGCTACTATAAACTGTATTTTCCCTGTGGTAATTTGTAAGTGCTATGTAACAACTCTCTCAGTTCTCTTTGTACTGAGAATTCTAGATGTATTGTATATGCAGTGTGTCAGGAAATGTAATGTGCAAGTGATGCAGCCACATGCAGTGTTGTGAGCTGGTGCTTATCAATGACTATTAAAATGTATTTTCTTAGAGATTCCATAAGAAAGCATCCATTAAAATATTGTCATTGCTATCACATACTCCTTCCAGTGCATCATTTGGGCCCCATCCTAGAAGCTGCTGACCATCTTCTCATACTGACTGAAGTCAAAATATGAGGGTGCTCAGCATGTTCTGGATCAGGCTGCTGATTGTAGCTAATACACATACGCATAGCAGAGTTGCTGCTTACTGTTTCATGAACTTTGTGTATAAAATGAATATAGATTATAACACTGTATAATCACATGCTAAAGTATCTGTAATCATCAAAATATTTTAGTTCTTCGGGTTTTTTAAATACTTTGAAAAAATAATATCCACTTGTTATTATGTATTACAGCAATAAATGTTTTCTTTTTGTTGACATTTAAATTTGATATGTTTTAAAAGAAGTGTAATAAAACATGCATTGGAATGTTTGCTTAGAAAGAAACTTACTTATATAAACTTTATAAAATGGAACAGAAGACCAATTTAAAGCTATGATTCTTATTCAAGGACACAATGTGGGTATGATGTTACTGAGACACTTATCGAGCTCACTTTAAAAGCTGCCAGGGGAATCTTCAGGTGAACAGAAATGTTATAAAACATATGAAAACATTTACAAAGATTAATATTACTCAAGTGCAAGCTTTTCTGTTGTGGATGATGAAACATGAGTGGAGAACTCTAAAGGGTCTGCCTCTAGAACTGGCAGAATAGAGTTAATTCAGAGCCCTGAGTTTAAGATTCTGCTTCTGCACAGAATGTAGTTGGATCCCAACTGCAGGCTGCACAGCTTACACACATACTACTATTTCCAGTAGTAGCAAATATTAGTTATTATTCTAACCTTTTAACTCTTGGGGTTTGGCATATCAATCCATAGAAGTCTTTCTTCAAGCAACTTTCCACTAAATTAGATTTTCCTCTCTGAATATTTACAGGGTCCAATTACATTAGACTGAGGTACCATTTTGTTCATTTTGTGATCTTGTCTGGTACATTCTGAAGCTCAATATACCATTTAATCCTACTATTTTGCAGTAGAAACTCATACAGAACATGCACCATCACAGCCTGGAGAAAAATCCTTGTAAGGAACTAGAATTAAGAACATTTTAAAACCATATTTTAATTCAGATTTCCTGTACACAGCATTTGAGCAGACCTTGAAACATTGAATCCTGCTGTTGCTTGAGGTCTACTGTATCCATCCAAGATGCTTAGAAATAATTCTGTGACACAAAAATGGAACCTAAAATTCTATGTGTTTTATATATATATACACATCTCTGTCTTGCACATGCCATATATATACACACATATACAAGCACATGTATTTCCAACATTTCTAGCAGCAGTGTTTCAAGGAAAGAGGAACTATGTGAGTCTTGGAGACTGATCTTTGCAATATTACATTGGTCAGAAAATTCTCTTCTATTGACATAAATGCTCAGAGGTTAGTAGCAGTCCCACTTGGGTGCTCCTGGATATAAAAACATGGGAGCATTGGACTACTGGCTCTTCAGTAGGCTTGTGGTATTAAGCCAGCAGTGACTGAGGTTGGTATGAATCCATCCATCTCTGTCATGTATTGAATGTTATAAAGCAAACAGGCTTTTAAATAAAAAGGATTTCTTTCTCCAGATCTACTGAATGGGAGGGAGGCTTAGGAGGGAATTTCCTTTTGTCCCTAGAAGAGAACAATTGCTGGACTGGATGATGGCCATGCTGAAACCCAAATTCCATATAAATCTGTCATTCAATAGGATGTTCATCGTGGCAGTGGTACCAACTCTCAGAGAAAATTTCTGATAAGGTGCTGAAGTGTACACAGAAAGCAACATGCTTGAATCTCAGTGAAGTAAATAGGATTTAGGCACATATTTAAGACAATGATTCAAGAAAGTGCTTTAAAATGTACTTGTGTTCAGACCCGTTCCTCTAAAATAGCACAAATCTGCTTAGCATTAAGCATAATTTAAGAATTTAGGTCGCACTGAAGCTGTTCCTCTGTTTAATATTTTTTAGCTGAATAAATGTGTATTTAATAAGAAACAATTATTTTAACTGATCTTTTCGCTTAGACCTAAAATATTATTTTCACTTAGACTTAAAATATTTATTTCACTTTTGAACTCATCTTTTCACTTAAATTAAGCCAAGGAGGGGTGGGGGTGGGAGGAATCAGCCAGTAAGCAGATTCTTGAGATAAACAAAAGGAAGGCAATTTAACTGATAGAATACCATGAGATGTTGCAAGAAAATAAAGGAGTTGCTTTTAGGTTGATATCTTGTGTAGTCTTCTGGTCTACTATATTGTGGAAATCTTCAGAGACTATGCACTGCTATTTATATAAATACACAAATATGTTAGTACCATGTCCAAAATTAGTTTTGTCATATGTGAAATTGGTTTTTATTAGTTCATGAAGATTCCATGGGGTTGATTCCTGTTCACATTTACACTATGTGATGGAAGATACATATTTATCACACTGCAATTTCTTTGTCAAAGAGATGTTAAGTGCCCTTGAAATAAATAAAAAGTGGGTCCTTTGTATCTTAACAGTGACGTAGCTAAAATGGAAGCTACAACAAAATAATTCAACTAATTTTATTTCCTTCAGGCATGACGTGCTAAGATTTCAGGGAGATGCTGAAAAAAATTAGCATTGCTGGTGTCAGAGGAAGTGCAATTGGTATGGAGCTGATGTTTTCTTTCTCTCTGAACTGCTGTGCAAAACCAAAGCAAACAAAGTCACAGAAAATGACAAAACAGTGAAGTGCACAGGTTAGTGAGCCCCCCAGGACAGATCTACTTTTTCCTGGGAAATCTTACAAAGGAAGAATTCAGACCTCCCTGAAATCCAGTTTATTTCTCCCATCATTTTCTTTTGCATTGCTACAAATAGTACAGGAGGCAAAATCAGTATTTCCTACTGAAAGCCACCAGAATTAAGGGGAATTGTTCTTGAATTTTGGCAAGGGGACCCTTTTTCAAATCCCACACATCCTAAAACCTAACAGGCCATTCTATCTGCTACCATGGTTTTATGCCTGCTCATTGTTCTGCAAAAGCAGTGGGAGATTTGTTTCCTGCAACAGCAATAACTCTTGTGGCTATTTGCCATACAGTGTACAGGTAGTGAGTTGCTTTCGAAGCCCTGCTCCAATTTATCACAAGTCAGCTTGGAAGGAGCCAAATTTAACTTTGAGGTTGTTTCTGAAATTAAAAACTAGGACTTTCTTTTCTACCTCTAAAGTCTGCAAGATGTGTGCCACAACAGTGTTTAGAGACCTCTAAAACCACCTCTAATGGTATGGCTGCTGACAACTGCATAGGAAGGAAATAATCAGATATAAGCTTTTTTTGTTTGTTTTCTAATTTCTCAATCCCATTTGCATGGCTTCACTGGCTGTTCTTTTCTGCAGAGCAAAGGGGGGAAGTAAAACTCATTACATTACTCAGCATTGCTCTGACACTGATGCACAAATGAAAGATGGAAGATAATCAGTGGTTCTGGAAGCTTTGCTACATCCAGAGGCAACAGTTTAAAGCTACTCTCCTGAGCACAAACAGTAGGATCTGAATGTTAAATATGCAGTTAGGCTGGAACATGAAGCTGGAGAGCCAAAGAAACAATAAACTGTGAAAGAATCTGAAACAAAGTAAACAACCTTATAAAGTTGCGAGTCTCGTCTGCTTCAGAGATTTTTGATGCTGACAGCAAAATCGAGCCAGTGGTTTCCTAATATAAATGTAAATGAGCACATTGCTGCCCCATTATAAGGTGTGCTTTGAAGATCTGTGCTAAAATGGTTTCTCATCTTTTGAGCACTACAGAGTTATAAATTTTTGTGCCACTACAGCAACAAATGCCATGTTTCTATGAGCATCCTGCACACACAGCACATAATAGGAATAACTGAGAGAATACATGCAGTAACATCCTGAGGATGGGAAAAAAGGCAGATTAAGTCATAGATACATTTCCACTCTTCTGATTTTTCAGCCCAAACAAAACCTGCCAAAGAAGTATCAAGGACAATGATGTTCCCATCTGTTGGACTACAAGTGTGTAAAAATGAACAGGAGTCTTTCCACTGATTGCAGATGATGTTAGGGAAAACTGGACACATAATTAATTTGCTCTGCATGGCTAAGAGTACATTTCTCTTACAGGAGGATGCAACATAGCCCATAGAGTTTCTCAAACCTACACACATTACAGCACAGCAGAACAGCATAGACATATTGAGGGCTGTTTCAGACATAGCTTGCCAGTACCAGCATTGAAAAATGAATGTAATGGTACAGTAAAGCACTGTATAGTGGTACAGTAGAAATAATGAATCTTGCTCAAGTGATCTTAAGAACATATTTCTGCACCTGAGAAATATTATTATGACAATTCCAAATGTCAAGTCTCAGGCCATTACGATTTGAAACATAACAAAACACCCATAATCCAGTCCAATGTTAGGAAAGTAACTCCCATCTTCAGTAAGTGAAATCCAGCCATACCATATAAGGCAGCATTTTTACTCAGGATTACAGTAACCAAATAAACTGTAAAAGCAAAGTCCAAAGTAAAAAATGCAACTTATTAAAATACTTCCTTTGTTTTATAGTGCTTTTCTATTAACACAAACCATATTGAGCTGAATGTAGATCTTCTTGGCCAGCCAGTGGTTTTCCCAAAGTTGTTGTCCCAGCAACTGCCCTTTGACACAGCATGAAATGATCCTATGCTACTTTTTGCTTTCGTGGATCTCACCAAGAATTTCCAGATGAAGTCAGCATCTCAAATCAGGAAGAAACATGTATATCACCACTTACAATGTATAGCTGTTGTTTTTCACCTGTAGTCACTGGCTTTCTGCCGGCCAGCACAGGAAGCTCTTCCTGAGAAACACGTGTAGGGGGACACAAAGTGGAGAAGTTGTCTGGTAGGATTTCAGTTACAGAAGCCACTTCTAAAAGCCTCCTTTCTCATCAGCATTCCATCCCATGTATATCCCAGTTGTATGTAGAGCCACAGCTACCCTCCCACTCATGAATACCAAAAAGCACTTAGACAGCAGGTCAGGAGCTGTACCTAGTGCATTAGGGTCCCCAGATGGGAATATGACTGTGTGCTATAGTGGAATAAGCTGCAGGTTTTATGGAAGTGCTTCAGATACAGCCCAAATGGTTGTATGATGTGAATAATGCATGTGGCCTAACAGTCCTGATACTGACAGGGTTGACCCTTGAAAACACAACTCAGTATTAACAGCTTAGTCTGACACATACTATTGACTTCGAGCCTTTCCTTCATGCCTATGACCTACCTGATAGTCTAGACTGAGCAGGCATCTGGAATGGAGAATCAGCCCTCTCAGCAAATCACTTCGTTGAATTCTTTAATTCACATCTTCTGAACTTTTAAAAGGG